CTTGTAATTACTTGAAGATGATGAGGGTGAGAGAGTAAATATGTTATTTTCGAAACCAAAAAAAAAAAAAAATTTGATGGCATTTTCGTGAATTATATGAACTTGTGGGGTGAATTGGGCAAAATAAAGTTCCAAAAAAAAGGGAGGTTAGTTTTGTGGTTGACTTCAAGTTTCAGGTCAATTCTGCAAAAAGCCCATAGGTTTACTTGGTAAAATTGCTACTTAAACTATTGTTTTTATATAAATATTGTAATTTTAAATTTTTTTCTATTACACAAAAAATCACACTTTAAAATTCAATGCAATTCATACTTCTTTTAAGCTTTTTTTTTTATAAATATTATTCATTTAAAGTTTTTGAAGAAAATTTATTGTACTATGATATATAAATTTCAAATGATATCCTCATATATATGTTAATATATGTGTCATTGTATGTATTGTTTAAAAGTATGCACACATGCTTTTATGATTAAGTTTACATAATACATAAATTAAGTTAACTACATCTTTAAGATGTGTAAGGTTAACTAAAACACGTATATTTGCAATCGTTGTTAACATTAAGCAAGTTGAGATCAATAATAATAGTTTTTTCAGAACTATATAGCCTGCTTATAATAGTGATAAGCATGAATACATACAACCATAACACACACAAAAAAAAATGGACATAAATCTTTTATTTCCATTCGATCATTGAAGGAGGCTTTTTGATGTAAGACTGTAAGTCTTGATCCACACGGTGCGAGGTGGTGTTATGATGTATTAATATTTGGGAGAATGTAGATATTCTTTATGATATATGGAACACCACGCAAAGGAAAGGTTCCTCAAATAAAAAAATTTACAGAGAAGGTCAAGAAGCATACATCAAACCAATACTTTCCTGAGATACTCACAAGGTACTAACTATGAATGTTAAGGCTAGGAGCCAGAGACTCACAAAGTGTGCAGTGTTGTATTGTTGACCAAGTGCATCACGGGTGATTTTTCACCACTTGAACACCAGGTGTTGCATGAATCATACACGGATACACATCTCCCATTTCCAAGACGCAGGATTAACCGAGATGAATCCCATCACAAAACTTGGATGAGCCTCTGCGATTTTCAATTCGGCTGCAGTGTGGTCTCCTGTAGCAAGGTTATCAGCTGACAGTTGTAAGTCTGCTTGCTCCGCCCTCCTGCCGAAAAATCAAAACCAAGATAATTCTTTCAAATTCAGTAAACTATCCCTAAAATACTCAAGATTATCTGCACTTCTGCAGCAAACAAATAAGATTATCACTCTGCATATGGTTTATTAAGACAGTTGGTGATCAAACTCGTGAGTTATTGTTTGAGGTGAAAATGGTTTAGAACAATATAAAGAGAGAGATGAGGGCGAACAAAGACGTTTTTATTAGATCTGAACAAGGAGTTACAAAGAGAAGAGTAAAGAGGCGGACTAGCCGGAAATACAAGATGGAGAGTAAACGGGAGGGTGAGTAAACCCTAGATCTAACCACCTAGTCGCTAAGAAACCCTAGATCTNGAGAAGAGTAAAGAGGCGGACTAGCCGGAAATACAAGATGGAGAGTAAACGGGAGGGTGAGTAAACCCTAGATCTAACCACCTAGTCGCTAAGAAACCCTAGATCTAGCCGCCAAGTGAGTATGTCTAATTCCGGATCCCTTTTCCCTTTGCTGCCTCTCTCCTTTTATAGACTCTATCTTTGTGTTCGCCCTAGTTTGCCTGAGCCTTGTTGGGCTTTATTCTTGTTAGGCTCGTTTAGTCGTCCGGGTAAGTCGTACTTCCGCCGACTCTTCTAGAATACTCTTAGTCGCACTACTAAACGCGTCTCATGCTGAGTCGTTTTGATGTTATCTGGTGGGCCGAGTATATTGTCGTGTTGGGTTAAGTTTCTCCATTTGATGGGCCTTGTGGAGGGGTATAACCCATCTCCTACAATAAGTCCCCCCCAGTTCACTTATGAGTTCATAGGACTCTAAGTGAATTTGTGGGTCAGGTTTGATCAAATGGGGAATCTAGCAAGGATGCACGTTTAGGCGCCACCTCGAGCGTGTCTAGTCTCGCGACTAGGAAGTCAACCGCGAGCACGTTCAGGCGCCACCTTAAGCTCGTCTGGTAGCACGACTGAGTCGATGCATGAAAACGTGTTTAGGCGACACCTCGAGCATGTCTAGTCTCGCGGCTAGGATGTCACCTGTGAGAGCTTGTTTAGGCGACACCTCGAGCGCATCTAGTCTCGCGACTAGGATGTCTTCTATTGTCGCGTAAAGGCGTCATCTTGAGCTCGTCTAGTAGCGCGACTGAGTCGATGCCTGTGAGGGCGTGTCTAGGCGACACCTCGAGCGTGTCTAGTCTCGCGGCTAGGATGTCACCTGTGAGAGCTTGTTTAGGCGACACCTCGAGCGTGTCTAGTCTCGCGGCTAGGATGTCACCTGTGAGAGCTTGCTTAGGCGATCACCTCGAGCGCGTCTAGTCTCGCGACTAGGATGTCTTCTATTGTCGCGTAAAGGCGTCACCTTGTGCTCGTCTAGTAGCACGACTAAGTCGTCGGTCGTGGGAGTGCAGTTAGGCGATCATCTCGAGCGCACCTAGTCGCGCGGCTAAGACGTCACGTTTGAGCGCGTGAAGGCGTCATATTGAGCTCATCTAGTAGCGTGACTAAGTCGTTGCTTGTGGAGTAACACTTTGCTCGACTGGATCAACCGAGCTGATCGCTTTTCGACTTAGTCGATCTAGACGACCAGTTGAGATGCACGTTTAGCTTCTAACCGCCTTCTGGTTTAATCTCAGTTGCTTCTCGATTTAGCTCTGGTTTAATTTCGGTTCGATTAAACCGGTTTTAAACACGGAAGCTGCTCTTCAAAATAGACGGGTATGTGCTTTGATCGATGCTTGGATGGTTGTAGTTGCATCTTTATCCCTTTCCAAAACTAATGTCTTTACGTTTGTTGGTTTGCTTTCAGGCCGATGGGAGTATGAACGTACTCGTCGAGAAGTACGACAGAACTTTGAGACAGACGATGGTCCTTCTCGGGAATGCGGAAAAACTTGCCCGCACAAGACTCGGCGCTATCGAGCAGATCAAGGCCGAAAACAAGAAGGAGAAGGAGATCCTCCGTGAGAAGTTTGCAGGGTTCGAGAAAATACTCAAATCCGACCGTGCGGCGAAGAAGTTGCTTGCGCGGGAGAAAGCGAGTCTCGAGAAAGCCAACGCTGCGCTGGAGCAGGAGAAGGCTGAGCTTCAAGCGGAAAGGGATGCTGTGACGCAGAAGCTGATCGATGAAAGGAAACACCTGCGGGAATCTCGGAGTCAGGAGGTTACGCGCGAGAGGGTGTGTGTTGAGGCGGCTATGACCGACAAAGCTAACCGTTGCATCGATCGTGTTCGGGCTTACCTCGAACATCGCAGCCTTTTCGATCGGGAGAAAAGTTTGTTGGATCAGGCTTCTGGGACAAAGAAATGTCTCGAGATGATCCAGGAAGAAAAGGTGGGTATCACGCAGGAACTGATTGACGTCTTCGGCGGTCAAGAGATTGAGCATGAAGCCAACGTTGCTAAACTGAAAGTGACTCCTATATCCGATGCTGATCTCACCCTTTCGCCACTGGTTCTCCCTTCTAGGTTCATGAATGAGGAGTTCGCGGCTATGCTCGATCCGTACGGGTCGAATGATGACTTAGTTAGATCAGAGACGGCATCGCAACTCCGGACATCATGCGAAGCTCTTGGAAACGAATCAACCGGTCAGTCGCAGGAGGTTCCACCCGATGTGATTCCGTCTCAAAAGGAAGGCGAAGATAGGATGGAAGAGCCGTCGAGAGGACGAGAGGGGTCGGATGAGCCGCCTGCTGAGAAGCTTGCTTCCCCAACTCAAGTTGAACAGAAGGAGTTATCTGAAGAGGTCGGTGAAGATGAGCCGGCGTCGTTGGTCAACCTCGTGGAGAATCTTGCCACCGGTCGAGATAGCGAATTCGCAAAGGGATCGGAATCCGACTTGGCTGCTACCGTCACTGAGGATCCCTCCGGTTCGAAAGAAAACGCGATTTGATCGCCTCTTGTTGTATTGCTATTTACCTTAGGGATTTTTTTTGTTTTCTGAGGCCCTGCTGGGTCCTTCCTTGTTGTAAGACTCTTTTTTTGTTAATGATAAAATGTGGTTAAGTGTTTGAGAGTTATCCCAATTTCACCGACTATTTGCGCATATACATTCCTGAAAGAAAGGTTCCAGACCGGCTAGTTGGTGACTTAACGAGTTTAGTCGGCCAAAACTTTCATTCGTTTACTCAGATAGCGGTTCGGATTTCTTTCGCATGTCGATCCTGGTGGGATGCGACTTCAGATCCCTCAATCAAGTGTCTGATCAGGACAAGATTGATTCGTGGGTGCGAGTATCTGTGTCCTCGTCTGCAGACGAGAATGTGGGTATCGCCTTGACCGCATTTGGTCGTTACAAAGTTTGGACTTTGGTGTTGTTACGGCTGCGCCTGATTAGGGCTGCCTACGTACCTCGAAGGAGGATCAATCCGTTCGTAGTTCGATTTACCCGAGCAAAAGTGGCTGTTTTAAGGCTCATTTACTCGGGCGAGTAGAAGTGACAACTGGGGTGCATCTACTCGTTTTTTTCTGGTTGTTGTTACAGCTGGACCGATTAAGGCTACCTACGTACCTCCAAAGAGGATCAAGCCGTTCGTAGTTCGGTTTACCCGAGCAAAAGTGGCTGTTTTAAGGCTCATTTACTCGGGCGAGTAGAAGTGACAACTAGGGTGCATCTACTCGATTTTTTTTTTTTTTTTTTTTTTTTTGTGGTGGAAGTGATTGTTATCATCCAAATTTACTCTGCTGGAAGGGAGTAACCAACTGTCTTACGAATAGTAGCGGCGAAGATGCGTGGAGTTCCATGCCCTTGGGACGTCTTCACCGTGCGAGGTTTGAAGTCGGTAGACGCCTGGTTGATGACCTTGATGATTTTGTATGGTCCTTCCCATCGTGCACCTAGCTTGCCAGCATTGAGCTCCTTGGTGTTCTCGAATACCTTGCGGAGTACAAGGTCTCCGAGCGCGAGTGGTCTTGCCTTGACTCGTTTGTTGTAATAGCTCTCAATCTGGTGTTGGTAGTTCTGGATCCGAAGCAATGCTTGATCGCGACGTTCCTCCAGTTCGTCAAGCGCATTGAGGAGCATATCTTCATTGAGCTCGATGCGTTGTGGCATTTGGGAACGCCGGAGGCTAGAAACGTTAACTTCAGCTGGAGCCATGGCTTCGACTCCGTATGCAAGAGAAAAGGGGGTTGATTTAGTCGCTCCCCTCGGTGTTGTACGATGGCTCCATAAGACATTGTCTAGTTCATCGGCCCAGTGCCCTTTCTTGAGGTCCAGACGCTTCTTGATGCCATCGACGATGAGCTTGTTAGAGGACTCGGCTTGACCGTTCCCTTGCGGATATCTGGGTGTGGAGGGGCTCAGGCGAATGTTCCATTTGCCGCAAAAATCTTTGAAATTTCCAGACATGAACTGCGAACCGTTGTCGGTTACGATTTCATACGGGAGACCGTAACGGCAGATGATGTTCTTCCAGACAAAACCGCGGACTTCCTTGTCGGTCACCTGAGAGAACGCTTCGGCCTCGATCCACTTGGTGAAATAGTCGGTAAGGACTAAGACAAAGCGGCGCTGACGGGAAGAAACCATGGGACCAATGATATCCATAGCCCAGCGCATGAATGGATAAGGAGCGGTAGAAGTTTGTAACACTTCCGTTGGGCAATGTATAACAGGGGCATGTCTCTGGCATTTATCACATTGACGAGAATAGGATTCACAATCTGTGTTCATAGTCGGCCAGAAGAGTCCCGCGTTTCTGATCTTTAAGGCTAGGGCCCGTCCTCCGGAATGGTTTCCTCCGGCGCCGTCGTGGGTTTCGGCCATCGCAGGTCGAATCTCATCACCGTGAATGCATTTGAGGAGGACCCCGCATGCGTTGTATCTGAAAAGTTTGTCATCCATGACGGCATAATGCGCGCTGCGCCTTTTTAGTCGTCTAGCCTCCCACTTCTCGGTTGGCAGTGTGTCGTGCGAGAGGTAGTTGATAAACTCCAAACGCCAGTCAACGGTCTGCTGATCGGTCTCAGTCATCACTGTGTCGTTGATGGGGGCAACAAGGGCAGCTGTCTCATTTGAAACGTTGATGCTCGGTTCGTCGATGCGATGTATCGGGATGGTTCGCTCGATTTTGTCGCGTAATTTGCTTCCAAGAGCGGCGAGTGCATCTGCACAAGCGTTTTCGC